CGTGCCCAATGTGCCTGTTCAAGGGAGCAATTATTGCTTATACCAGCGATGCATGAACTCCAAATGCAAGTCTAGATTTCTGAAGGACTTGGAAACGGGAATTGAATTGTGGAAAGGTGATGTGAATCTTTCCCTTGCTTTTGGTGTCGTATTTTGGCCCTGACGTTGGTTCTGGTTTGGGGCCTCGTTTGCTTGTGTATGTCGCTGTTGGTAGACTTTTGATTGAGTTTGTGTCGTCGATTGTCCTAAACTTAGCAATGACAATAACTTTTGCACCAACATATCCTTTCGGCAATCACGCTAAGGTTCCCATTTTCCGTCGGCAGCAGGAGTTTAGGAACTGAATTCAAGATTTCGTCCTTTGTCTGTTGGTGGATGGAGTGCCGGTTTGTGGTCCAGGGCGAGGATGAAAGAACATTGGAGCCCAAACGCCCAGGCACGCCAGGGACCGAAGCGCTGAAGAGATTGCTTGCCTCTTTGGTGATTGGCCAATTGGTCGCATCAGAAGCATTTGCCTCATTGGCGGTATGTATGCCATTGCCAACGTTCAATGCATTTGGAGCTTGTCACCGCCAGTGCCAGTCAAGGTGTCAGGGAGGTCAATGAGCGACGGCCGGGATTGAGTGGACGGCGAGAGGGATTGAGTTGAGATGATTAGGGGTTGAAAGCGGGGTCCGGTCAAGGTGAACGGGAGGCCCACAAGTCCACCGGGACGGGAGCCGACCGAGTGGATGCTCGCGTGTCCGGCTCCCCGCCGTCACACAGCTCCAGAGGCGGGCACTGAGGGGAGAAGAGGCCCATCTGGTCAACCCCGCGCTGTGTTTTCGGTGAATTCTTTTGATAGAACCTTTGGCCGTTCAGCTTCGGATACCAGTCCCTTGATCGTCTGCCTTCATGCAGTGAGGAGGGAAATGCGATGAGCAGGCTGACGATAAGGGTACGTGGCATCCTGGACAGGCACGATCCAATGTTTCTGTGGTATTCAAGACGGGGAGCCTTTCTGTCGTGCTGCCACATACGCGATGTACACCACCAAGGCTGGAAGGACTGGAGGCTTGTGGAGGACTCGGATGAGCCATTGAGATTGCTGGATGCTGCTGCCCTCGACGGCACGGTATCTCAACAGCTCCATCGTATGGCGAATATGCTTCTGAAGGGGGCCATCAGGCCTGAATGCCGGAGAAAGAGAATACCGGAAGGGATCGATTGAGTGAGAGGAAGTTGAGACGAATGATAGAGGCACACTAGGTGATCTGTTTGCAACTCCCGTCGTCGATGTGGAAGGAGTACTTTGCGAGACTCCAAGGGACTTGACTGCGACTTCCAATTCTCGGCCAGTTATCGATAATGCAGCTGACAGCGGGGTAAGTTAGCGTGCACAGTATCTTTAGCATGAAGACCTGCACTGGGTTGGACAATTGCATTTCTCCGACGGAACCGCAAAACTCCAAAACTCCCACCATGCTCACCAACCTGGTTGTTAATCCAATTCTGGCCCTTCGGTCTGGGGTGGGAGGCGACAAGGTCAATCGGTGACTCACCTCGCCGTCTTCTACAAATTTTCTTTCGCTTCCACTTTTACGACAAGGCAACGAACCAAGCACCATCCATTGCCATCATCTGCCTTCCAGCGCGGTCTCAATTCGCATGAATTTGTCATACACAGGAACGCAGCGACTTTTACATCCTTACTTGTAATTCCTTTGTCCGCAGTCAGCTCCTCATTGGCCAATCGCTTTCCCTCCCATCCAAAACCTCATCTCGCCCATCTACACTATGCAGTCCCATGTGGCAAAACACCGGTGACGACAGTCCGGATACGCTGCCCGCGCGCAATGAGTTGTCCTGGCTGTCCCTCTTTTGGCGTTGCTTCAATTCATGCCGTTCAACTGCACCAGTGGAGCCTTTCAACACTTCTGCTTAGGTATGCCAGTCTCCGGACAACCGTTTGCGCCCACTGTATGTCCCCGCCTCCGCGACACGCTGGATGCCCAATACACATCGGATATCTGCCCAATCGATAACGCTAAATGCGTCGGCCATCCGAGAAGAGCGACGACGGATGGAGCGATTTGGAGCTTGATATTGGCTGGAAGTGGCTGACATGTCAGGGTTAGGGTAATAATTGTAAACCAGCGGACGCATTCAAGAGTTGATGCTCGTCGAAAGCCATGCTTTATCATGACAGCAACCTACCTCCAAGAAAAAAGCCTGATTAAGAGGACGAAGTTGAGTTCTGAAACTCCAGCCTCCTCAAGATCTCCACCGACGGATTATCATACCATCAATCGAACTCGCAGACCATGTCGTTTTTAGCATGGTTCCCCGCCACAGCCGACACCAAATCACTGTTACGTTGAGGCTCGTTCAACTGCCTCCAATAAACTCTCTTCCCGTCGACCCTTTGCAGCAAGCGGCACCGATTTCTGAACGATCGGAAACAAGAGTCTCTCTGAATCAGTCAAGGCGATCGATGGTGAATCTAACTACCTGTACGACATTGCAGCAACTCTGTCCATTCGTAGAGGACATCTGCCTCCCTACGCATTGCAATGGACGGAGCAGATGTTAGCTGGAGTGTTCGAGCCCAACTTCAGCAGAAACAAGTGACAAGTGACAACGCGCAAAGCTTGGAGATCATGGAGCCAATGGAACAAAATGGCACGCTCCCCTTATGGTCGGCGTGATCTACACCAGGGTTTGAGGCTCCAATGACACCGATTGATCATTGATCGCTTCAGACTCCCATGGTTTGTGATACAGTACCACCAAGTACCCTCAGACTGGGTTCAAGGAGGTACTTGACCTGACTTTGCGCCAAGCTATATTGCTGTCTTGCCTTACTGACAGGGATGCACTTACAGTGCGTGCAGGTGATCACCGGATTGGCTGTGTCCCAGTTACGGCTTGCTTCAAAGCGGGCTTCAGTGGCTTACGGACAGGGGCGTGGCAGCCCTGAGAAGGGAGGGGGTGACTCCAGAGGTCAGCGAATGACTCTTTCGCAATCCAACCTCTAAAGTGCATCAATTGGAAGAGCGAGGCAGCAGCAAGAAGAAGTGGAGGGAAGGGAACAGGGAGACACAGCGAACAGGCACAAGAATTCCGCAGCCGATGAGGGCGAGCATGGTGAGTGATGAAGAGATCCAAATGTTGCACTTGGAATTGCTCCAGGTACCTTACTAGCATGCTCAGCCCAACCAAGTGTAAGCGCCCCCTGCCATCTGCCCCACTGTTTGGGTTTCCGTGCCCCAGATTGAGTGTCTGAGAATTGAGATGGCCGCGTCAGTCGTTTGAAGCCTGGCATCGAAGGCGAAAGCAGATGCCGGTTTTTGCAATGGAAGACGATGACTTGATGAGGTTAGGATCCATTGAGTTCCAATTGACTGGCACCAAGAAAGCGTCGCCATTGTGACAAAGTCTTGGAGGTACAGACCTCAAAAGGATATCAACCTGGAAGTCTCAGGTGCCCTGGCAGTGATGGGCAAGGTCACAGACCCTTCTTTATCTTTTGGGTCCGACGGTGTGTGACCTGTATCGCATCGCATTTCAAGCACCCATCCTGGTCGGATTAACAACCGACTGCCAGTAAGATTGGTATTCCAGCTATAGTCCAGGTACCTCTTCCTGGGCTTGCTACCTTGGCCTCTTATGCCCCCGCGTGGCAGGTATCGACACAGTTTAACATGGAACCTTTGGTGCACCCTTCGGCGAGGAAGGTGAGCGGAATCAGGCGGAGAGGGAGGCATGGCAGGTGGGAGGGGGGGTGAGGCCCGCTCCTGCTGGATGCAGTGCCGCATTTTCCCATTAAACATGCCCGGTAGCCTTTTTACATGCCCGCATGCCCTACCGCCCTAGCCCTTGGCCTCTTTTCACAAGTTTCCTACTTCTGTTTGCTCTTCTACCTCTTTGCAAACTCTCGCCCTCCTTCTTTCTCTTCCACCCTTCTCGCTCTCCACCCGCCGCCATCCCAATTTTTGCTCTTGCTACTTCCCATTGACTAGCTGACTTGTCAATTGGAACGCTCTTCAATTCTCGCTATTATTCAGGTTTCAATTGGGAAGCACTGCCTGCTCCGCCGACGCAAGCCTTCCCCTCTCGGGTTCCAGCTGCTTCGATTCTATTGACGGACGGGACTCATTGAAGGTTACCTTCCATCCCGTTACTAATACAAAGTGCACCTACCAACCCCCAGCAGCGGGGCACTAAACTGGGGCTGCACGGTGCACCGTTAAAACGTAGCGCAGCCCGAACTTTGACTGGACCTCAACTGTCATCTCAGCACCAGACCACGTCCCGGCCGCTGCCGTCTCAAACTGCTACTCCACACTTGCTACTGGGGCCCAGAATAGCGACGTTCCTATTGTTCAATACCCTCAACCACCCCCCGCCGTCCCAACTGGCAACGAATTGGTGGCAAGCATCTCGAACAACAAGGAAGACATTGCACAATAGCCAGTTGCAGGATCATGTAGCGTGGGCTCGCATTGTGTAGCACTCGTCGAATTGACAGCAAAACCACAGGCCTTATCCGGCCATTCAAAGCTATTCAAACGCAGACGAACAATAATTACCCAAACAACAATCGCACAAAGCACTGGCTGCCTGACGTTGCCCGACTGTTCTTAAACGCCTCTTGATCATCAGGAAAACTGTCGGCTTCTTCCTCTCCTCCAACTTTTTTCAGGACAGCTATCATCTTTGCGATCGATTGGAACCGTCAGGGATCTTCCCAGTCAATCAGTCACTGCCATTGAAGCTCATGCCAGGCACCGGCTTGACTTAAACCCTATCGATCCCTGATCTTCGTCACCCATTGACGCTATCAACCCATCGTTCGCCACCCATCCGAAGAACACCGCCATACAAGTTCACGAACCAGTCCTCTTACACATCGCCCATCAACTTGTGGATACGCTTCAAATACTACGCCCCGTCTCCAAATCAGCAGGACCAACATTTCATCCCTCAGCATCCAACAAAGGGTAACAAGCCTCGCCATAATGTCTGGCAAGAACGACAAAGTCTTACAGCCAGCATTGTTTCCAATGGATTATACCATGAATCCAATGTCATCCAATTCTGCTTCTTCAAAGCCTAAGAGGCCGTTCGACATCAGCAACCTCATGTCTCCTCCTGGTCCAGCTCCTTACGAGACGTTCAACCATCGTGTCGCCGCAATGACAGCCTCGAAGCCCATGTCCGCCGCAACCAGGCAGCTGGGACCGAACCCGCCTATATCTCCTCCCATCTCCCCTTACACCAGGGTCAGAAACTCAATCACAATGGACCCTCGCCTCTCCATTTCGGACAACGACCCGATTTTATATCCTGCTCCTGAAACCGCTGCTAGCCCTCCTTCCGAGCCGCTCTTCGTCCCTTCGGTTCCTTCAGCCGAGCCACTCGATGTTCTAGTCGATAATCACATTGCTTCACGACCTCAAAGCGCCACATCGCCACCTAAGAAGGAGGATTACAAGCTGCTGCTCTTTTTCAAGTCGGAGGTCATGAAGATGTGGCAGAAGGATCCTCAGGATTGGCTCCGCAAGGAGCGCCAGTATATGCGAGCTGAGAAGAACCACAGCAAAGTACGACCCGTGGTTAACAAGCTTCCAACGATCTTGCCTGCCGCTCAACCTCCGGCTCCGGCTCCGAAACCCCAGGTGGCGAGAACCAGCAGCACTGGCCGCATTCAGAAGCCCAGGGTCACCAAGGCACCGGCCCAAAACCCTCGGCCGATTCGGGCAACTCCTATGCACTCTAGGCAGACGGCACGTGTTAGCGCCACTCCTGAACCTAGAGTGCGAACAGTGGCGCCAAACAGGGAGGACAAGGATTTCGACTCTCTTCCCGACTTCACGCCCAGCATTTTGACCCTTCCTAACTCTCCCGGCTGTCTCAAGGTCGACTGGAAGGGTAACCCGCTCGACTTGAGCAAGGATCCCAACAGAGCCCTTCTCCATGACGAGGAGCTCAGCCTTGCCGCCGCCCTTCGCCTGGATTGTGCGACTTACCTCACCAGCAAGAGGCGCATCTTTATGAGGCGCATTGATTGCGCTAAGATTGGCAAGGAGTTCCGCAAGACGGACGCTCAGCAGGCGTGCAAGATCGACGTCAACAAGGCATCGAAGCTATGGACGGCGTACGAGCGGGTCGGCTGGCTCGACCCTAAGCACATTGAGAGGTTCCTGTATAACTGAGAACCTTTCGAATCTTGATGAGATGGTTTTGTTGTCTGACCGGGTTGTCTTTCATAACTTGGCTTTTTCATGGCTTCTACTCATTTTGGCGTTTTTCAGGCGCATGGTACACTCGACTCATTGGTTTGGTTTGGTTGATGAACTGGCTTAGCTAGATTGATGACTTGGTTCGGGATCTTACCCCTTTTCATGGCCCTGGATATACCCCGGAGTTTGGCTTTTGGAATCACTCCAGTCTTTTTTTTTTGCACTATTTATTGCTCTCATGGTTTTCTTTCTTATTGCTCTCCGGATCACATAACGAACACTTTGCATTTCACGGTCGGTTGGTTGCCTTTGTGGGGGGTTTTTTTTTCCTGGCTCACTCATACCACACCATTTTCTTTGCTTTTATTTGGAACATTCAGCTTCTGATGGAATCTGTTGTTTCTTATGGATCGGTTATGGAATGACAATGGAGGAGGGGCTTTTCTTTGCTTACTCTTTTTGCATTTTGCTGGGGAAGACATAGCACAGCACAGCACAGCACAGCACAGTACGACATGGAGGGATGGGAGGAAGGATGGAGGAAGAGACTGCTAACGTTTTTGACGACATTATACCCCCTTTCCTTTCTTTTCTTTACATTTGTCTTTTTTTTTTTTTTTGTCTTTCTATTTTTTTTTTTTTTTGCTTCATACTATGATTTGCTACTGTTTGCCAACTTGGCCAAGTGCATGGGTTAGATCTAAGCTATGCAGTCAACGCTTTCCACAAAGGAACGACTCGTATGCGGATGATGGACGGATGGATAGCGCGATACGGTAGTATAGCACGAAGAAATAACAACCTAGCTAAGGGATATTGAATGGCTTGCGCATTCAGCGCATTATGATGGAATAAATGAGATCAAATGACACATCCACATCTAAACCACGTGTGAAAGTTTGATGGTTGACGTCTGCTTCCATCTGGACATGGTAAAGCGATTCGGGAACATCTGTCTATTCCGTGATATCAAATACCGTGGCATTATCTTCGTGAATCCTTGTATGGCAAAATACTAGTTATTGTTCATAGCTGTCTTGTTTATCAACGGTGGGCTTCCTTTGGCTGGTGACATACGAATTGCTAAGCGTACCGTAACCGGCCAGTCTACGTAAATGAGGTATTCACTCTTATCACCACCCGACTCTGAATGGGCATAGTTATATTGGTCCAGCTTAACTGGTGATGTGATGGTTTAAGGCAACTCGAGGCTTGATACGTGGTTTAGGAGCAATTCTTCCGGGTTCGATTCTGCCGCGGAACATTGATTACAAACCAGAGTGATTTTACTAGTGGGTGAAGGGGCGAAAATGACATCCGCGGAGAAACATGGCATTTGTAACGTGCATATAACAAATATCAGGCATTTGAGATTTCCACATTGTATTAGTTGGCATGATTGGTCTTGAAAGATGTACACTAGTAAAAGTCATGATTCATTATACCCTGCATTGGCAAGGCTGGGTCGCATAGTGCAGAAACCCCGTCCGGGCTTCAAGCCCGATGCTCCGTTCCTGGGACACGCTACCCCCAAAGGAACGGACTAACACGCTTATTCATATGTGAAAGCAAATCATTACCGCATAGGTGAGAATACCCCTTCCTCCACACATTATCAACATCATTACACCTCCCTTTTCTCGTTTAGAGTCCAGCAGCCAACTTGTAACCACCATCAACAGCCAACGTCTCGCCATTGATGAACTGGTTCGACACCAATCCCAGCACCGCCTGCGCAATATCTATATCGCGACCGGGACGAGCACCAGGGTACTTGGACTCGTACTTCTCCTTGGGGATGTGGCTCTTCTGGAACTCATCGCTCTCCTCGGCCGTCATCTCGCTGGGGAAGGGACCGGGCGCAATGCTGTTGACGCGGATCTTGAGACCGGCGTTGGCAATCTCGGCAGCCAACATGCGGTTCAAGTGAATAGCGGCCGCCTTGCTGGCGTTGTAAGAGAAGTGGTGCTGTGCCGACTTGACCTGACCGCTGATGCTGCTGATGTTGATCACGGTGCCGGACCAGCCGGGGTGGCGCTCGGTGCTAGCCTGCAAGAGGGGAAGGAAAGCAGAGGTCATGAAGTAAATGCTAGCCACGTTGGTGCGGTAGGTATCGGTCCAGTCATCGAAAGTAGCGTCCTTGTTCTCGAACAAGTTGTGCTTGAGCTCCTTGGGGTCGCTGGCCTCGGTGGTGACGCTCGAAGAGGAAACGCCGGCGTTGTTGACCAGGATGCAGAGGCACTTCTCGCGCGACTCGATCTCCTTGACCAAGGCGGCAATGTCCTCCTTCTTGGTCACGTCCGCCTGCAGGGCGATGATCTCGCCCTCGATGTCCTTGTTGTAGATCTCGACTACCTTGTCCAGCTTCTCCTTGTTGCGGCCGACGATGTACACCTTGGCGCCGTTGACGGCGAGGGTCTGTGTAGCCATCAGGCCGATGCCAGTGCCGCCGCCGGTTACAAGGGCAACGCGGCCCGCGAGGTTGAAGAGGGAGTTGCGGTTGAGCTCAGCGTGGCTGGCTGCGGAGGCGGACTTGGTTCCGGTCGACATTTTGCTGGATTGGTTGTAAAGAGGAAGTGGGAGACTGGTTCTTGGAAGTTTGGATGAACTTGTGGTTGATGTTTTTGGGGTCGCTAGAGAAGTTCGTGCGATAGTGTTGAGTGCTCTTGTTGTAGTCGTAGAAAGAAGAGTCCTAGTACAGGGTCTGATGAAGCGTGTGGGAAGAGATTGGATCATTGTATGAAGTCAGGAGAGGAAAGGAAGCGTGAGTCCAGGAGAGGGCACTTGTTTATATGCTGACGTGCTGCAAGAGGCATGGAAAGCTGAAAGTCAACAAGTGCAACACATCGAGATCATCCCAACTTATTGCGGTGGAAAGAGTGACGAAGAAGCGCAATGAAAGTCATGACGAAATCGATGTGAGCACCCTGCAACCACTGACGAAATCCATGTTGGTGCTCCTTCCCTTTTCATCGAATTTTGAGGGCAATTGGCGAATCAGCGTGCATTGATAGAAGCAACCCCGCCTGTCACCACAACCCCACTGCGGACCACAATGGACAGGGTCGTAGCGCCACCCAGTGGACTTGCAAGGAGTGGACCCTTAAAGTTGCAACAGTTGGACATCGACGACATGAATTGAGTTCAACAGTTACGGTGAAAGTGGTGTAATTGAAGAGGACGAGAAGATACATGCGATCATTCTGGAGGCCTATATTAGAGCATCCTAGCTTAGAGAAGGAGAGGGTCTCATGTCAGGTACACATCGGTCTTCAGCCGTGGTAAGAACGCTCCCTGGAGGTACCTAGATATTGATGAAAGGGTCGTTTTTTCCATTTGTCCATATCACGCAAGAGATGTGCATGATGGGCACATACTGCATGTAGGGAAAGTGCGGTGCAAGTCTGATGGCTTTGTCGGAATATGCAGCATCTGGCAATAGTTGTACTTCCCCAAACAGAGATAGATTCTCGTCCCTTTCACCCCTCTCTAATATCCATTATCCCCATACATCTCTTGTCCTCAGCCCAAATCCCACACATTAAGATCGCATCAGTCACGATGCTCCCGGTTCTCCGCAGTCGCCAGTTCAACGTCAGTCCTGGGCCAAAAGTGACTCAAGTCACCGACCGGGAGGTTCAAAGTGATTCTCATCTCACCAGCCATGATGATGAAACACATGTACCATCCAAGAAGAGCCACGACGAACAGTAGTGCACCACCTCCCTATTGAACAAGTTAGCGGACAGCATCGACACTACTGTGGTTAACACCATTCGAGTAACGAAAGGGGAGAACTTGCCTTCTGCAACTTCCCTGCCATCTCAAACTCCCCCTCACCAACCTTCCAATACGCCCCAGAAAGCACCCAACAAGCCACACTAACCAGCAAAAAGATCAGCGCAAAGACAGTATTGATCTTGCAAGTAAACACAAAGAAGGTGAACAATGCAAACCCCCAGACGATCAGGTACAACGCAATCACGGCGTTATATTCGGGTGTCAGGGCGCCGCCGCCGGTAGGGACATCCTGGGCAGCCTCATAAGGCAGACCGAGCTGGAGTGTGGGCAGCTGCAGCATCCCAAACGACAACCAGAAGACGGCGAAGAGACCCATCACCATCATGGGGAAGAAGTTTCCCATGATCCACTCGAATACCATGGCGAAGAGGAGGAGGACAGGGCCGACGCAGAAGAAGATTCCTCTGTTCATCTCCACGGTCAGAACCGGCAAGCAGCAGGCCGAGAACAAGGATTGGATTGTTGGTGACTTACACGACAGGCGTAAGACCTTGCGCGCCACCCCATCCCATAAGGACTATGGAGAAGGTAAAAGTTGAGATCACGAAGCTTTGAATGGATGGAACATACCAAGCGTCAGTCATTTCTTCGGCCAACCGCAGTAACTGGAGCCAAAGCAAGAGAAGACAGAAAGCACATACCCAACAAACCCTAGCGCAGTTGGATTAGCAAACCGCCTGTTGTAGTCGCCGACATGAGGGACTTTGGGTGTAAGATAGAGTTTCTCAAAGAGCTCGGGTGACATAGTGACGCCGGTCGTGGTCCTGTGGAGGTGGTCCTTTTCCCCATCGTGGATGACTCTGGTGCCGTTGTGGGTTGAGATTGATTCCGTTGTTTCCATGATAGACTTCCGCTGTTTTCCTTCGTTTCTTGCGCGAATTTGTCGGTTTCCGGTATAGAGACGCCGTCTTTGTGCGGATTCGAGTGAGGGTTTACAAAAAGATGACAAAGATCGGACGTCGAAGAGGTAATGGATGTGTTCACACTCTCTAGTTTCTTATGTGAACCGGGTCCTCGCCTCCAGACTGCATCAGTGTGCAGACCGGAACTCATCTTACAATGGGTCTGGCTGAATCAATATCACACTAACTTTTTGGTTACCCAATCATGATTTCTTATCTGGTGTTCAGAGATGTCAACTTAGGCCATTTGCATTTCTTCTTAGGTATAAGTTTTGGTATCGGCCGCCATACCCACTGCGTCTCATTGATATCTGGCGTTTTAGATGTACATCACTCACTGTCACCCCAACGTCTTGTTGGTCACGGCCTGCAGAGCCACTCATAAATATTGTGCAGGGAGTTCTTGTGCCGCACGTTGGCTGACCTGAATCTGATGGTGGTTCCCGTGCTGGATGCATCTCTGGTGGGCAACTAGCTATTCGAGGAGCAGAAACTTGTCAATCAAGCCTGACGAAACTGGGGTTCGGTCCTCATTTTCATCCGTTCCCGGCAGACGAATCACACTACCATACCGCCTACTCAAGCTCCCAGCTGTTTACACTACTCGGTTATAACATCTGCCGACATTTTTCACGGCTGACATGCATCAATACATCGAGTAGGTTGGTCCAGTTGTGCGGGGAAGCTGAACTGGACGATGTGGTACAAAAAGCGGCTGGCTATTCCGTCAGCCACCATCAGTTTTTGGAAACGCTATATGGTATCCTGATCCACCATGATACACGAAACGAGATATACACGATCATGAGTTGGCTGCGAAATAGCCCATAGACTACAGAACGAAAAGGTGATTTGTTATGAATGGCAGCTTTAGTTCAACTTGGGAATCTTGTACACCAGGGCATCTTACGGACGCCATCTAGAAAGCAAAACAATTAGAACGTAACCTCCTCAGTGCTCTCCCTCACCCTCTTCATCAAATGCTGCAAATCCTTCTCATCCTTCCCACCCACCACGACATCACCAATGCTTTCCACCTCCTCTCCCCCATTGCTCGTCTTATCCTCGTACCATGCCATGATTAGCATCCGCCCGCTTTCAAATGCCTCCCTCCATGTCTCCATGAACTCCTTCCTCGATCCCTTCACCGTGGTGGAAAAGCTGCTCGCACAAGTCAGGCCCCTGCTCGTAAAGTGGCCCTTTAGCAACGGGAGCGCCAGCGAGCCCGACGTCCTCACGTTCAAGTCCACAGTGTAATGCGCCGTCCTCTCGCCATCCGCTGACGAGACCCCGTTCTTCTGTAGTTGTTCATCCTCCGGAATTTTCTTCGTCTCCAAAATATCAATGCCCACCGGCCCAATGTATCCACGCTTGCCCACCCACTCAGCCGTCTGCCTCATGATGCCCTGAAACTTCTCCTTCAGTTTTTCCTGGCGCGCATAGTTAATCGTGCTTCCAATCCACGCGTTATCCTCGTTAATCATCTGCTCCGACGCTGCCAAAAAGTGCGCCTCCCCTCCCTTGCCCACCAAGAACGTCACCCCGTAATCCCCCACGGGGTCACGCACCATCTCGCTCAGCACCACGCTCCCAGGCTTCATCTGCTCGTTCTTGACCGTCACCTGCGACAGCAGCTTCCTCAGCACTCCCGTCTCATCATCCGTCAACTCCTCCACCAGCTCTCTCTTCTTCGCTTCATCATTAACCACCCACGTCCCCGCCCCGCCAAACGTTTGTTGGGTCTTGAACACGAACGGCGTCTTTCTGGCTTCTACATTCTCCACGATTTCTCGCATTTGCTTTTCCACCCACCGGCCCCTTGTCCCGGTACATCCAGCAGGGATAAACTTCATCCCGCCCTTCCCCTGATCCCCCTCCTTACACACCTCACAGCATTCTAAAGCAGGAACAGGCACATGTCCATCAACATCAACCACCTCCGCTCTCGACGTCGGCAGTCCCGACTCCGCAAGCCCAGCCTTGCTGTTCAGAAACCACTGCGTCTCCTGGTCCACCACCAGCGGATACCCTTCCTTCTCGAGATCATCAAGCATGATTTTCACCGCCAACCTCTCGATCCCCAGCTCTCGGACCGAGATATCGGCCGGTCCAGAGCAAAAGACTAGTTTAGGCCTCTGCTCAGGGCTGAGCACAGCGAGCGTCTGTTCAGCCTCGCGGGCATCATGAGCTTCTTGCTCGGCGGAGCCCGGCTGGACGTTGAAGAAGATGGTGGGCGTTTGGGGGCCGCCAGCGATGAAGGCGTCACGCTGCGGGATGAGGGAGAGGTATTTGAGGGCTATGGAGCGTTGGAGGTCCGACGTCCCATTGTGCGGGTTGGAGGTGGCGTCAGCAACGGCTTTGAGTTCCGAGGGGGGGATGTTGTTGAAGGGACTATCCTGGTAGAGATATTTCTTGTTGCGAGGGAAGGAAGGGGTCAGGGCGATGGCGGAGTTGACGCCGCAGAGGACGAGGCCGAGGCGGAGGTGCGCGGTGGAAGGGTCAGCGAGCTTATAGAGGTCGGTTAGGGTGGTGTCGAGACGGATGGTGGGGAGGTTTATGGATGTGGAACCCATTTTGAGGGTGGTTGTTGTGTGGTTGGGAGATGGTGGCTTCTTTGTCGTGTAAAGTCTTCGCGGGGAGAGGATGGATCTGTAATTTTTGAAGACTGTGGTTGGGGAAGGATGGACGAGGTGCCGAATTATGATCCTCATCGTGAGGGGCTGGTAAGTGCAGGATGCGGCGTGCGTTTTGTACTTGCGTCGATCTTGAAACTGCACTTGCTGGTTTGGTGCATATGCAGGAATTTTGAAGTCGCTTTCGTGTTGTTGAGTGAGAACAGCTACAAAGAAAGGCATGTGATGGCCTCGGTTTCCACTCCAAACGAGCCAAACATCACAAGTGTGCCAACCACGTCATTAGAATATCAATAGTTGAGTTTCAAACGGGGTAATAGACCATTGCCCGGTTATGAACGGTAAATTCACGTCAGCCAGATATCTTGCAGGTCGCTATTACCGCGAGTGTTGAGGCAGAAGTTGTGTTTGTCGATAAGACAAATGACGTCATTTTCCGAGAAAGTGTGGTGGAAAAGCGCCTGGCGGGAATCTTTGAGGTACCAGGGTGAGCGGGTCTCGCCGAAATGATCGACTGGGACATTGACGTGCAAGATACGCCTTGGCGCCGACCCGGGACGGCTATATGTGCGGCTGAGACTACATGGCCTGCGTCAACATATTCCGGTCAATCACTTGCTAAAGATAACAGAGAAACTCCGACGAAGCACTTCAAGATTTGCGAATGTAGGTCCATTCACCTAAAAACGTTGTAAGGGAAATAGGAGAATGCTTGACGTACCGACTCCTAGTTCTAGCGATTATGCTGTCCGAGTCTTGAGTGAACTGATTGGGTGATGTGGTGAGACAGAGTAAAAAGCAGACAGAAATGGATGGATTGTATGTGTTCATGTTGTCAATGTCTGAAGTGTGAACCTGACGAGTAGACTAAAAAACCATCTTCAATCTATCGGGGGGTTTATCAAACGATAGGTTAGTGAGGCTGCCGCACCAGGCTGGTTCCAAAATCCGAGTGGCCGCCGTGACATCGACGTAACACAAAGCCCGCCCTCTTGCCCACAGTTCCTCACTTGGTGCAGTGGTGAACTCCTCTAATAACCCATCCAGTCAACGCACCTCCTGGAATACTGCGTAGGAGTCAGGGTGAGGGATTGTCGTTAACTTGCGTTCTGTTCTGTTGTTCCAGTTTAAAGCTGCATATGTACACCGGCATCCGATCGGTCAGTCCTCTCACCTAACGAGGTTCTGTTCTCACCCTCTGGTGGACTACCACTCCCGGCCTCCGCATTCAACTTCCATCTCACTCATCTTTTACGACGAGCTGCTCTTGCCCAAACGCTCCGCCTCCAACTCTCTCTCGGCCTGCTGGTAGTACTTGGCTGTGTCGACACCGTGCTGGTTGTGGTTCACGAAGTTGAACCAAGGGAGGACAGCGAAGAAAAGGGCCGAGTATCTCGACTGACGAGCAGCCATGCCTTGTACATCGACAGGCAGGGTGCTGACACCGTAGAGTGGCTGGCCAGCCTTGACCTTGTCGACCATCTCACGCATATCCATCTGTACCTCACGGGCGTTCTCGCTCATGCCATAGAAGCGGACTGTTAAGTATGTCAGCACACTGTCAGGAACATAAGCACTTGACACCGGGATATCCCTGTAACCGTTTCGTTGGGCCGTGATGGACTTGGGGATGCCAGTTTGCAATGCTGAAGGGACGAGGACCACATACGAATGGATCGTTGGTAAAAGTAGAGGAAGCCACCGAAGAAACCCACGGCGGTCGCAAGTCGCATCGCCTTGGGGAAGCCACCCTTTCCAACGCCTGATGGTGCCAGCTTCTCCATCAAATATAGAAGGCCGGGGCCGGCAGCACCCGCAACAGTGCCGTGGACATAATCGGACGTGCGTGCGTAGCCAATTACACGTCGAAAGTGCCTGTGCCGTGGTTATTTAGGTCAGAATTGCGCATCTCGAGGTTGGGAAGCATATCGTGGGAAACGTTGTTGGACCGTGTCCATAGGGAGGAGATGCGTACGGGTCATTGTCGATAAGCTAGATAAGGTAGGGATGCGATGTCAGCGAGCTGGACGTTGTTTTGGGAGGTTTTGCTGCGATCAAAACGATGCAATGCGCCTCGCGATGTCAACAAATTGGTGATGCAATTGGCGAAACCCACCGGATACTTCGTATTCAGTGTCTTGCTGATCGTATACGTCGGAGATGAAGTGCTGGACATTGTGACGGCGGCCGACGATTGCGTCGTCGATGGGGTATCACAAACGTATGGAGCAGCTCACGACTCAGGTCCCGTCGTCGTCGATGGAGTCGTTCGGCGGGATGTCCACAGGGTTGGAGCTCGTACCGTAAACCGTATTGATGCCTGAGGCAACAATTGACAAGCTTCGAGCTTCTTGAAGAGGAGCATGAAAGCTCAGCCACAAGTCCTCGAGGTCCCCTGGAGGCGCCACACGCCAAGTGTTGCCAAGCCGCAACCACTTACACTTGCAGTGCTTGATGCGACATGGGACTTCGAAACGCGTCTCACCTCCCCCACCACTTTTGTTCAACGATCAGCTACTTTCCAACAATACAATCGGTATCCAATTTTTGAGCGCAATTGGAGATACAAGCTCACTATGCCGGAAGAAAACAACACCAGCGCTTTCGTAAACGACTTCCTCGCTGGCTGGGATGACGACGACCCCTTCCGCTCCCCAAGCCCAGAAGCGGCCGACAAGAACAAGGCAAACAGCAAGAAGCGCAAAGAACCAGATACCCTCGGTATCGACAAGGAGATTGATGTCACCAAAAAAGCCAGAGTTCCTCGCGTGAAGCTGGATGATGCGAGACTACTATCCGACAAAGGCATTCCAAAGCTACGAAAGACCGCACCGAAGTTGAAGCTGAAAGGGAAAGGCCACGAGGTGAGCCAGGTCACCCACTTATGGTGGTCCCTTTGCTAACATATTCCAATCATAGTTTTCGGATGCCGCCCGACTACTCTCCTTCTACCAAGAATGGCTCGACGACCTCTTCCCGAAAGCTACCTTTGTAGACGCCCTGGCGATGTGTGAAAAGGCTGGGCACAAAACTACCTTGCGAAACGCACGACTGAAATGGATTGCCGAAGGAAAACCCAGGTCAACAGGAGCTGAAGATGAGGAGGACGGAGACCGCGAAGAACAGTCGTCTGCTGCTCCTATACAACCCACCAGGATGGCGCCCATATTTGAGAAGGCGGCGGGGGCTAGGTCGAAGACGCCAACAGCCGATGATGATGATGATCTGTTCGGGGACGACGACATTTACAATGCGACACCGAGGCGTAATCAACCGACAACGGCGTCTGGAGATGTTCCCGATGCTGACGATATGGACGCATTGAGGGCTGAAGCAGAGTTTGGGACTGTTTCTGGAAGCATATTTGGCGGTGGAGCCACCGCGAAGCGTCCACAAGCCACCGAAGTGCCAGATGATGATGATCTGGATGCGCTGATGGCGGAGGCAGAGTCATATCGCCCATCCACCACAAACAAGGGTAGTGTCTTTGGAAACGCTAGCATTTTCGGAAGTGGGAAAGATAAGCCAGCCGCGGCCCGCCACCACAAGAGGATGATGACGACCTCGACGCCCTGATGGCCGAAGCAGAGATGCATGCAGCTCTTCCTCCTCCAAAGGCAACACAGAAAGAGTCAACCAGTAAGGAAGAGACCGGTGGGAGGAATGGAGGCAAAGATGCATCAGATGACGAGGATGATCTAGATGCCTTGATGGCTGAGGCTGAAGCGTATGCGAAGACTACGAACACACAGCCTGCTCCGCCCAAGGACGTGGATGAGGACTTAGATGCAGAGGCTGCGATGGCCGAGATGGATGGGTTCTGATGAGAATCTGAAGTAGCCCTCTCCTATTAGTCTTGATAGGCACCACCGCATCTGTTTTGGTGCCGTACTATTTGACGTGATGATAACGGCGCAGTAGTACTCTGATTGTATGCCCCAGGGCTTTTAACCTTTCCAATGTCTTGACCCGAATATTGCGACAGTGGTATGGTTCTGCACAACGCTTAACCCTAACCCGCATCACGAGAACAAATGTAAACACAGCCCCTGAGGTTCTGAAAACAGAACAGGGCAGGTGCAGGTTTGGCGCCAGCGTAGCTTGGTTTTTACCCCACAATATGGTTTTGGTGGGGCGACTTAGCGACAGAGCATCCATAGCATCATCATCCATTCTTCTGTTCGTCCTCCACTTCAACACAACAACAAAGTGCCAGGTGTCACTCAGTAATATACAAACGGCAGATAAGGTGCCGCCATTGTCGTGTCTCCCCAACCCTGAAGTTCTTCCCTCTCCAGCCGGTATTCGAACATCTCACATCTGGCACACGCATATCGCCCAACATGGCGTCCGATCTCAGCGAAGCCATGGCCAAGCTGCATTTCGACGACGATGCCGAGAATGGCGATGGCACTCCCTCCTTCGATCCCATCGACGACATCCTTTTCGATCGCATCAGTCCGAACGAGTCGAGAAACGGTGAAGCTACCGACCCCGAAGCGCAACGCACCGAACTCGAGAAGAAATACCTGACGCCGTCCACGACTTTCTCGACAGAATGGTTAAATCGCCTCCAGCAACGCTGGGACACGCCCGTCGACCACTCCCTCCTCTTCCGCATCGCTCCTACACAGACCCGTACTGTTACTCGCTTCCAGCGTCATGGCCTCGAAGGTCGCGTTACCGGATATCGCAACGTCACCGTGCCAGCCTCGCATGCCACTGCCAAGACGAGTACATCCATGACGCGGAAGCCAGCCAGCAAGTCCGAGTTCGTGCGTGGCGGAGCTGGCTTCTTTCCCTTCGCCCCTGGTGGTCTGGAGGGTATTGAATCTGCTGCAGCACTGGACGATCAACTACGAAAGGACGCCGCAGCGGATGAGGGAGAGAGCAAGAAGAAGCTGGAGAGGGTCATCACTCTTGCTGAGGGTGGTCTACTTGAAGTCGCGCCAGGATTATCGCGCGGTATTGATATGAGCAAGAGAAAGAAGACCGCCGACGCCGAAAGCGAGAAACAAGCCAAGGAAGTAGAAGATGTTCTTGGCCAGGAACCCGAGGACGCTCCCGGAGGCGAAGACGAGAAGGACGAGGTCGATGGTGTCAGGAGAGAAGAGAGTGAAGACAACGAAGACGACTCGGAAGATATCGACGCCATATTGCCTGTCGAATTTCCTGCCCTCGAACCTCGTGGCACACTGGCGGCGTCCAGCGCTAGAAAAGCTGGTCGGGAGTGGGCACATATGGTCGATGTTAGGCGGGAGATACCCAACTTTAGGGAGTTGGTGCCAGACATGGCAAGGGAGTGGCCTTTCGAGCTGGACACGTTCCAGAAGGAGGCTGTTTATCACCTCGAGAATGGCGATTCGGTGTTCGTCGCGGCACACACATCAGCCGGAAAGACGGTGGTCGCCGAGTACGCTATCGCACTGGCTGCTAAGCACATGACCAAGGCTATCTACACATCCCCTATTAAGGCGCTGAGTAACCAAAAGTTCAGAGACTTCAGGCAGACCTTCGACGAGGTTGGTATTTTGACCGGCGATGTGCAGATCAACCCCGAAGCCAGTTGCCTCATTATGACGACGGAAATTCTTCGGAGTATGCTGTATCGTGGAGCGGATCTCATCCGTGATGTAGAATTTGTCATCTTTGACGAAGTCCACTACGTAAACGATTACGAGCGGGGAGTGGTTTGGGAAGAGGTCATCATCATGCTCCCTGAGCACGTTACGCTCATCTTGTTGTCCGCGACGGTCCCCAACACGTACGAGTTCGCCTCGTGGGTTGGTAGGACCAAGCAAAAGGACATCTATGTCATCTCGACGCCCAAGAGACCTGTCCCCTTGGAACACTACCTCTGGGCTGGCAAGAAGATCCACAAGATTGTGGACGCGGAGAAGAAGTTCCTCGAGACTGGCTGGAAGGAAGCCAATCTTTCCATCCAAGGCAAAGACAAGCCTCCCAAGGCCATTGAGGCCCCAACAGGACCAGCGCGCGGCGGCGCGAACCAGAGGGGTCGTGGAGGTGCGCAAAGGGGTGCTAACCAACAACGAGGAGGCGCGAGAGGAGGTGGCCAGCAACGTGGAAGAGGTGGGCCACCGCGTGCAAGCCACGCTCCCGGACACATGGGCCGGACTGGCCGGCAAGGAGGCTTTACGTCTGCTGCTCAGGACAAAAACCTGTGGGTTCATCTCGTGCAGTTTTTGAAGAAGGAAAATCTGCTACCGGCCTGCATCTTTGTCTTTTCCAAGAAGAGATGTGAAGAAAACGCCGATGCACTCAGCAACCAAGACTTCTGCACCGCGCAGGAGAAGAGTCACATTCATATGATCATCGAGAGGTCGATTGCTCGGTTGAAGCCCGAAGACAGGGTGTTGCCGCAGATCATTCGCCTCCGCGAACTTCTATCAAGAGGTATCGCTGTTCATCACGGTGGCCTGCTACCCATTGTGAAGGAGATGGTCGAGATCTTGTTTGCGGAGACTCTGGTCAAGGTTCTCTTTGCCACCGAGACCTTTGCTATGGGCTTGAACCTACCGACCAGGACGGTGGTCTTCTCTGGCTACAGAAAGCATGACGGCCACTCGTTCCGCAATCTCCTACCTGGCGAGTACACTCAGATGGCTGGTCGTGCTGGAAGACGTGGTCTTGATACAGTTGGTTGTGTCATCATTGTACCGCCTGGCGGAGATGAGGCCCCTCCGGTAACTGATCTCAGGCAAATGATGCTTGGCGAGCCAAGCAAGCTTCGCTCACAGTTCCGTTTGACTTACAACATGATCCTTAACCTTCTCCGGGTTGAAGCACTAAAGATAGAGGAGATGATTAAGCGTTCCTTCTCAGAGCATGCTACTCAGCAACTTCTCCCGGAGCATGAAAAGGCAGTCAAGCTTTCCGAGGCCGATCTGGCCAAGGTCAAGAGAGACTCATGCCCGATCTGCGACATCCACATGGACGAGTGCCATCAAGCAGGAGAGGATTTCAAGGTAGCTACGGAAGAGCTCTACCGCGCCCTGTTGGCTATCCCAGTTGGACGTAAACTGTTCACACCTGGTCGCCTCATTGTTTATATGAAGGAGGGCGTTAGAACCCCAGGAATACTGCTTGCTGAGGGACCTAGCAAGGCGGGCACCGCTGCCAACCCGACACTGCATGTGCTTGAAATCAAGACCGGCAGGGAGCTTCGCAATGATACCGATCTCCTGCCATTCACCCCGACTTTGGCCAAGTGGTACACTCCCTTGCCGGCACACAAGAAGAACATCTACATCAAGACCACTCACATCCCTCTCAGCGACGTGGTTTGTCTCACCAAGCATATCACCAGGAACATTGTTCCCGAAATCTTCAACGGTGGCGACGTCTACACCAAGGCCAAGGAAATGCTTCACCAAATCTGCAAATCCTGGACCACGCCCATTTGGGACGAGATGGACCTCAGCCGCATCAAATCGCTGTCTATCCATGAGATCATCACCCGCCGGCGAGAGGCCGAGGTCAAGTGCACCAAATCCCCCGCCGTCGACTGCGACCACTTCCTTAAGCACTACGCCATGTGTCACGACCAGTGGCTGATCAAGACCAAGATCGACGAACTTCGCCAGTCCCTCTCCAACCAGAACCTGCAGCTCCTGCCCGACTACGAGCAGCGCATCCAGGTCCTCAAGGACCTCTCCTTCATCGACGACGCCAGCCGCATCCAGCTCAAGGGCAAGGTAGCCTGCGAGATCCACTCGGGCGACGAGCTTGTGCTCACCGAGCTCATCCTCGAAAACGTCCTCGCCGACTACGAACCCGCCGAGATCGCCGCCCTGCTTTCCGCCTTCGTCTTCCAGGAAAAGACCGACATGGTGCCCAATCTCACCTCCAACCTGGAGCGGGGGCAAAAGACCATCATCGAGCTCTCCGAAAAGGTCAACGCCGTGCAAACGCTGCACCAGGTAATCCTATCGTCGGATGAGGGGTCCGATTTCGCGAGCAAGCCTAGGTTTGGGCTGATGGAGGTCGTGTACGAGTGGGCAAGAGGCATGAGCTTCAAGAACATTACCAACCTGACGGATGTGCTGGAGGGTACCATTGTGCGCACCATCTCGAGACTGGATGAGACGTGCAGGGAGGTGAAGAATGCGGCGAGGATCATTGGTGATCCGGAGCTGTATCAGAAGATGGCGACGACGCAGGAGCTGATCAAGAGGGATATCACGGCTGTGGCTAGTTTGTATATGTGATCGATCCAGCCTTATGTGTGTGTGTATGTATGGGTGGATGGATGTTTAGGTTGATTGAGTTGATTTGGGCTGTGTTCGGTTCGGTTTACTTGGTAGCCTTTGAAAAAGGGGTTGCGTTGCGTTGCGTTGCGCGTATGGAATGGGATCAACAAGCGGCTTTGTGTTTTGTCTTCTTTGTCATTTTTTTTGCGAGCTACTTTGAAGAGCGTGAAATAAGATCTGGTGATGCCGTGGTTACCTCATCTTGTGTTGGGGTTCTGTATGTACTGAGGATTACAATCACTCGGTGACAGAATGCAAAAAGCATGATGAATGATACCCAACTCGAACAGCGTTAGTTTTATTTCATGGAAATCTCAAGCAACAATTCAAGGAACAAAATGCTACGAATGTGTTCTGCGTGTTTCTCATAAGTTTCACGGCATAGATGTCAAACCCGGTCGTTTTTTAACATACACTCAGGAGGACAGAAAAGGGGCTGACTTGACTAAGTTGCCACCCCCTTTTCCTCGATCGTCCCAAAGTAAACAGTCACTAGTTGTGGTCAATCTCAAACACTCAACCGAGCCGAGGCATATGGCAGATACACTACACGTATGAGCTGAAGAAACTACATACTGTTACAAGCCCAGTCCCAAAGGGACTTGGATACATGATATGTATTGGTTGTTAGCGAGACAATTGTTCATTCAAGTCGGATGTAATTCGGGATACAGTTACAAAGAAGATCAGGAAGATAACCTTTCCCTAGAGGTTTGGGGGTGGCACAATGCACGATGTAAATAGTGTAGGTTCGCGTACCTGGTGATCATCCCATCCACCCAAGCCCGTTGACGTGTAACGTAGCGATGCAGTCCTGCTGCAGTAGGAGCGAGCGGGAAGGAAGGCATAGATAAAGGAAGAAGAAAAGGAAGGGAAAATGAAGTTTATCTTGCTATACCTGAAAACGCCAATAACTAAAAAGTGACAAATGTTCATCATCCCAGCACCCAGTAACTGAGCCATAGCAGCACTGCAAGAATGAGGGAAAACGAGACCCCCATATCAGATAGGTACAGTTTACTGCTTTGAAAATCCCACACTTCAGAGGTGACCTGTTGTTCCCTCGGAAAACGCTATCCGCCCCCAGATACTCAGTCCCGTTCATGTCCCTCGTCATCTGTTTGAAGAACCCAAAAGCCACGAAGAGAAGACTGTCTGAGTTGTTCTTCTTCATGATCCTTTGCGTCATCAATACCCGTTGTACGTAGTCGTACATATCTCCGTCGACCCGGCATGCGTTTTCGAAATCGAACGACCATCCCGGCTTCACCGCCCTTTGGAGCCTCCGCCGAGTAGCCGATCCCACCTCACCCCACGTATCCCGACAGCGGGACGAACGACCCACCTAAACCGCCTCTCCCGATTCATCCAACCTCTCCAGTTCGTTCCTTCTCTTTTTCTTCGCTGTTTCTTCTCCCGAAAAAGTTTAAGAGAATGAAGAAAGCGGCCCGAAAGTCTACCCGGCTTAAGCCCGCAAAGCTCGCAAGCGCTGTTGCAGGGCATCTTCCTCTTCCGGAGTCGGCTCGGCCGTCTGGCTCACCGCCTGCTGGGCAGCAGCGTTGGGGTCAACCTTGCTGGCGCTGGCCTTATTCAGTTCCTGCCCCAGCTCCAATCCGGCGTCGTCTGCGAGCTTGCCGAGCAGTTCGTGCACGGCATCGTCGCTCACCTGCACGCTGGTGCTCTGCGTCATGGCGTCCGTGTAGATGCCGTTGCTCATGGCGTACTCCTCGTTCTGCTGCTTGTACTGCTCCAGCGTCAAGAGCGTCTTCTCGGGGTTCACGCTGCGCTGAGCCCGCGACATGGTCTTGGACGACTGGGCCATCATATAGGTCATGCGGTTCATGGCGTTGTTGGCCTGTATCTGGGCGACGCTGAGCTCGGCCATGTCGGCAGCCTGGTCCATTTGTTGGGCGATGGCTTGTTTGGCGAGCAGCATGCGGGCTTTTTGAGCGGCTTGCGCGGTTTCGCCCTTTTTGAGAAGCTAGAGAAGAACAACCATGACTTGTTAGTTTGGGCGTTTCCTGCAAGTGCGGTGACATGATAGCATGGGTGTGTTCGATATGGTAGATAGGAATCATGTCATGGAAAGCCGATGCTGGCCAATATCGATGGTGACGATGATATAGAGATTACGGATGCGCACCCGTCTAGGTAAGAAGGGACAACGCCAGGCCAGGAAGATATTGCGGGACAACGGCCAACGAACACCGAAGGGTGAAGAGGGAAATGGACAGGTTGACCAACATTCTGGATCTGTTTCTTCAACTCATTGTCTTGCTTGAGAGCCTTCTGCGCTTCACGTCGTGCTTGCTTGGCGTTGAACTGCCAGTCCGTGATGGTCATTAGCAGCTAATCCATGTTTCAACATGATTCTCTGATGGTTCCATGCCATCTATGGAAGATCGCAAGCAGGGTAGGCGACGCTGCAAGGGATGGTCCACGGACGCAAGGAACAGCCTAGGTCCAACAGCGGAACGATAGTAGAACATACGCGGGCTTGAAACTCGACTTGCATGTCTCTAGCAAGCTGTCGGTTCGCCATTGTGGTTTCGCGGTGAGGTGGTCTGTCGGCGATGGACTAATGGAAAGAGGTGGGGGGTTTAGGGTCGGGGTGACGGTCGGTGACTACGCAGGACTCGGCGGGGACAGCGAATGGAGTGAAGCGGTGGCCTTTGGCTCTGGGGAGCAGGATCCGATTGTAGGTTATCGCAGGTACGGTTTTCGTGGCGGAAGAATGATGGCCGGCGACTGGAATACTATCGGTCGGTCGAATAGGTGTAAGGTATAGATGGCGCACGTGTCGACAATGGAATACCTGATCGATATCTTGGTCGTTTTCGACGAGTTTGAATGTTCACTGCTACCTAGTTAGTGCTACGTAAGTCAGTGCTAGCTTTTAGTGCCTGCTGTGCTGTTGCGTGCTGGGCGGCTGCTGTGGACGGCGACGTACAGAATGGAGCACGGGAAACTGGAGCCTGGCGAGCCTGACACAACCACGACAGGGTTCAAAATGACGGGAAGACGTTCAGGTTGGGAAGATCCGGGAGGTCCGTTGGTTGGCAGGCTGTCAGCGCGAGGTAATCGCCCGAAATACGGACCCATGATTCGCCCGGATAGGAGGCCTGGCGATATATGGGGCCACTGCATTGCCACCCCGCCCTGCCCGCGCTTTCCACGGATTCCACGCTATGACGCAGTCTTGTGGCTGGTGAGCCCCCTAGCATGTGTGCCAGACTGCCAGTGTGCCGTAAATCTCAAGAGGGTGCCCGCTTGGCACCAAGAGTGACATTCGCTGGCCAATTGAGCGGTAAACAGCGAGCCTCATTCGCTGTTGGGCGGTCTGCACTGCTGGCCCGCATTGATCTCTTTCACCGAACGGAACCGGCGATTCGATCTTCTAACGGTCTCGGCAGTTGCGGTGGAGAGAAAACGGAGAGCGGTTTTTTGCCCTTTTGAGCCAGAAGATGAGCAGCAAAAGGAGCGGACAGGGAGAGCCAACTGGCTCGGCCTCGCGGGTTTTTTGGGAGCTACGGCAACGGCAAGGGATGGCAGGTCCGCGGACAGGCATTCAAGCCACACAGTACCTCTAGCTTACTGTGCACGGGCAACCAAGTCCCGCCCATTCGCAACGGACTACGGAAGGAAACTGAGCTGCTTCGCTGGGCTGAGACTGGCTACAGAGGTCTTTCCGATAACTTTTTTTATCGGTGGCTCCTGCGGGCTGTTCGTGGCTCGCGCGCCCCCGAGCATCTGAAGGGTTTTTCGTTTTCTGGACAAAACTTAGAGCAGAACCATAGACCACAGACTCCAGACTTTCCGGCTTGACTCGCTCCTCTTCTTTCTCCATTTCATCTTTTCTTGTCTTGGGCAATTTCTTTTTTTTTTTCCTACAACAAACTCTTAGACTCTAGACTTGGTATCCATTTTCCTTTTCTCTTGGGGCCTCCCACTCAGCTAGGAACCACACTCCACCACAGCTCGGCTTGGAACACGACCCATTGGCATCATGTCGATTCGCAAGCTCAACGTGCAGACCTTCCCGCGCCCCCCGCTGGTCGAGAGGGCGCCCCGTCACATTCAGATCAAGTGGCATGGTCAGCTCATCGCCGACGTCCCTCCTGGTGAGGCGTACTGGGTTCTGGAGACCCATCATCCACCCAGTTAGTCCACCCCGTTCTTCCCGCAGTCCCCGTTTCCACGTCGGGTAATTCTTCCAGCGTTACACCCCGTCCCGACATCCACCGCAGAACCCAGCACGGCCAGGTCCACGCCGCTGATATGGTGTCCGATTCACCCTTTTTTTGATGGTGGATGTCCTGTCGCTCAGTCTTGCGTCACTCCAGCTCAACTCGTGACTCTGCCGTGAATGCTTTGCGAAAACCGTCCACTAACTCTCATGCCTCCCCGTCGGCAGCTTACTACATTCCTCCCTCGCTCGTGCGCCTCCCCCTCGCGACTACTCCCAGGTCGACCTTCTGCGAGTGGAAGGGTACCGCCACATACTACTCCATCATGAGCCCCATTTCCGCCGCCGAGACCATTTCCAACAGAATCTGGGCCTACAACGAGCCCGCGAAGGGATATGAGGCCATCAAGGGCTACCTTGCCTTCTATGCCTCCCCTTGGGAGTGCTATGTCGACGGCGAGCGCGCCCAGCCCCAGCCCGGTGACTTCTATGGCGGTTGGGTCACGAGCGACGTCGAGGGTGTCGTCAAGGGCCAGTGGGGAACCTGGGATCCCGTCCTCTAAGGGGATCCAGAGCGGATAGAAAACAACAAAGAAACAATATGAAAGTCAGGGAATTTTGGGAGGAGCTTCTCTTGGTGTGCTGAGGGGTTTTTCTGGAGTTGGGCCGGAAGGGTTATAGAAACGCATACACATGGCTGGTTATTCAAAACGGTGCATATGGGATCGGAAAGCGCATTTTGTTGGGAAGGACAACAACAGAAGAAAATTTCATCATCCTTTAGAAGGCGCTGCAACACCTAGAAAGAGGCATTCGATGCAGATCGACCATGGCATGTTGGATTCTCTTGCTTGAGCGGGATCACGAGATTGGTGCGTCGCGTTGGTGTGATGTGTTATGGTGTATCAGATTTGGACGTGAAGAGGCTGTTAGATGCGGGACGGAACCGGGACGACGTCACGGCATCGGGTCCTTGGATGTGATGTTGAGCGGATGGCCGAACCCTGAGCGCCGAGATTCCGAGCATCCACCGGATCCTGCGATCGTCCGTGAGACATCGGAGAAGAGGTCGGTTGCTAGGTTAGACCGAACTTGTGCCCAATTCGTCGTTCGGGAGCTCGATGCACCGATGCAGGATGCCGCTTGGCAATTGTACAGTATGGCCCAAATATATGTATGTGTAATAGCTCAAGACGACGCCGCGAAGACTGGAGAAAGGCAGTGTAAGTCGATCTGGGTTCGGTTAGCTACACTGGCCCCAGACACAACTCCATAGAATAAAGATGACGATATGTTCGAGAGATTGTGAGAGTCCGATGAACGATGAAACGAACTCGGATGAAGACTCGGGGGCAAGGGGTGTCCGGCCTTATATCATTTTCATTAGTCTTCCCCTAGCAAGCGTCGTCAGTTGCCCAGTTGATCCCCGTTGGGAACTCCACAGGTAGTGGAGGATATCGTGGATTAGTCGTGGGTAAAGCTGGAGAGGAGATGGCGTTAAAAGTGGAAAGTTGCTAAGTTTAGTATGAAGAATGGAGGTGTGAGATTGGGGGTCACAAGTGGGAGACGTTTCTTATCCACCAGCGGAGGTGGAAAGCGGGAAGTTAACATGAAAGTCTAGAAGGTGGCTCCATCAAGAGGAGTAGTGCCATGTGGGAAGCAAACAATAGACAAGACAAGAAAAGAACAGGAGATGTGGAAAAAGGCGAGGCTAGCAGATGACAGATGGAGTCGACGGGGAGATTAGGTTGTAGTTCTAAACCCAAGCTGAGCCGCGGGAGGCTCTGCACGCGTTCCCGTCCTTTAGGTTCGCAAGCAACCGAGTGGAATTTCTATGCGGGGGAAGCCGAACGGTCGTGACCACTGTTACCTTCTTTCCTTTCTTCTTTCATGAGACACATTCCGAGCCTCCTGAATGGTCAAATGCCCCAGAGCCAAGCCATGGTTGGCTCCGACGGCGTCACACCTTACACTGTATCATAGTGTAAGCGAACGCCACCACACCATCCACACTGGCACTCCATCTCCATCCACCTCTGCTTAACTGCATCGGGATGGTATTTGCAACCGCAATTTGCAAAATGCCAGGCCATTGCGCCGGCTCACGACTCCGCGGAAGTGTCGCCGCCGTTATATCTCTCCAACCCCACAATCTCGTTCACGACGCGAGTTTCACTGTCTGCGATGTCTCGTCCACTGCGGCCTGTGTTGTAACCCCCCGGGCCCGTTTCCGAACGCGATTTTCTTCCACCGCGGAGGCACGACATCTTCCTTGTTGGGTAATTACTCCAGGTCTGCTAACGGTTGCGTGTTTCCGGCTAGAACAAGATATCACACGTACGGGAAGTGGATGGTATGGGCTATCGCTTTAATTTTCTTCAGTTTTTGTCGAACGCCCTCATGCTTTTAGGCCGTCCAAGGCTCTTCCCCATATGCCGAATACACAAGAACCGCGGTACATGCGCTGAGAACAGACCTGCACGCATCACTTGCCATCCAAGGCATCCTAGGATGACCATCGGAAAAGACAATGTGGATGAGAGGAGAAGAACCGACCAAGGGAAAAAAGAAGAAAAAGATTACGTATGTGGACAGACAGACGACCATTCCAGTCGAGGTCACTCACTATTAAGCCGCACCACAGGTAATTGAGAAGATCGTTGATCAAAGCTCATCGTCTCACATTATCACAAGGACAAAATACAACCTCGTCTTCTCTGGTCTCTCTCCCGGTGTTTCCGACCGCAAAGTTAGGAAAGGGGACCGGAGGAAGTTTGAGGGAGGGAGTGAGTGAGCGAGGGCTCGATTGATCGCCGGCCGCGGCAATCCATTCTTGAGCTCATTGATCAAACAAACAAACGAAGGGAGGGAAGCTGAACTGCGTAATCATAATGAATTCAGACCGAGGCGATTGAAAGGGACGCCAACACAATTGAATCTGTATCGGAAAGCCGTTCGACATGGCGTGGAGCACAGGGAAACAAGAAAATAGAAGTCATTTGAGGTACTGGCATCAAAAACTCCCTTCTGCTCGCACACACCCATCCTCGCCATCCATCTTCCCATTTCAGCCCCTTGTCCTGAATGGCTAACAGATCCGGATCGGATCACCGTCCGATCAGCACGGAGCCGAAGCGAGCCACACGTTCGGAGAATGCCCCCCCCCCCCCCCC